ATCAGCTATGGATGTCTTCCTTACACACAAGGCTTCTCTTCCATAGGCCTTCTTCCAATACATGGGAGCACCTGGCTTTGGTGCCAACGGTGCTCATTGTTATGTTGTAACTGTGCTCAGGTTGGATGTTCTACTACAGTCAGTTGAGAATACCTTTTCCCTTTGATTTTTTTCCCTCTGCCTCTCCAAGCCTTCAGTTTGGTGACCATAGTTTTTTGAGGACTGTATTCATCTCTATTGCAGGCTTATAGAATCTGGTCAGGAAATATAGGCTAACTGACTGATAGACTGACTGACTGACTGACCTATGAGCAGAAGTAACCCTAGTAGGAATGATTGATGAATTGCTAGTACAGTGTTTTAGCAGACAAGAACACAAATTAGGAAGGTCAGGAGTGATTTGTATTTGTTTCACACGACTGCTCACAGTGTTCTATGCTAAATGCTTCTTTACATGAGCTCCTATAGTCATTATTCTTCAGGGAGATAGCTACTTCATAGTCCCCATTTTGTAGCTGAGAAAACTGATGCAGATGCAACTTTAAATGTTACAAAATGAATAAATGGCAAGGTCCATGTTCACTCCTTTGGTTACATATCTCTATAACATCTCATGCTAATTCTGAACAGTTTTGAGAAATGCAGGGCAGCAGATGCTCAGACTAGGTCAACCCTTGACCACCATTCTTCAATACTGGCATATGCCAGGTGCTTTATGCATTTCCTCATTTGTGCTCATAAACACTACCTAGAAAATCTGTAGTATTGTTATTAGGATTTTATACCTAGAGAACCCAAGGCACAAGAAAGGTGAAGTACTTTGTCCAGGTTACAAACTGGTGAGTGAAGAACCTGGGTGCATAATAAAGTCTTAAGATTCTCAGAATCATTTTCATCGTCACTGGCCACATGTTCCATAGTGGGGAATTGATCTGCTTCAGTTTCGCCAATAATGGAACATCAGTGATTTGTTGTTCCATCAGTAGTTCTTATGTTGCCTTCTGGGTTCATCTTAGTCTCTGTAGTTATGAGCAATTACTGGCCAGATTTCAGTCTTTATTATGCTTCTATCTCCCTGCATGCTACCTTCTCTAGTTTTCCAGCCCTGCTTGGAATGCAGTTGGCTAGTGTGGAAAGCACCAGTCCCCTTCGAAGCCAGTTCTTCCTTCCTGTCCTCTCCTTCTCTGCCCATCCATGTCCCAAATGGAGCTGGCACATGGGATGAGACCACATCTATCATCTTGCCAGAGACTTAGGTTCTTTCTTCTTGGCAGCACATTTAATAGAGCTGGGGTGCCTTTGGTGGGTGCCTCCAGTTAAATCCCAGGGCTTATTATGAAACTAAGTTTTGCATGACTTGGGGAACTATTCTCCTTCTGTCAAAAAAGTACTTAAGTATGTTGGTGTTCTCCTCTCCTCTCCCAAAGCACAGACCTCATTTTGTTGGCGTTCTAATAGTTTTTCCTTCTGTGTCAGTGGTATATTTATTTACATTTTTAAATTTATGTGCTTAGTTTGTCTCTGGGTTATACGTTCAATGCATTTTTGTTCCTTGTACTCTCAGTCATCATCTTAGAGTGGGTTCATGCTTATTGGCCCAGAATTGATAACATGGGTCAAGAATTTTCATGATTTCTTTTTTAAGCGAAGAGCTAGAAGTGGTGAATGCTGGAGTGTATAAAACACTGATGCTTGCCCCAGACTCTGTTGAGTATGTTTGCAGGATTGCGTGGGAGGGGCTGAAGACCACCCCATGTGAGTCCTGGAGTCAGACTGCCTGGGCTGCCTCCCAGCTCATCTCTTATTGGCTGAATAACCTTGAATGTCCTTCATTGTTCCTAATCCTACACTCCCATCATCTGTCAACTGAGAACAGTAACCATATCTGTCTTGGGGGTTGTTGTGAGTCTCAAATGAGCTAATATATGTGGGCCTAGTAGCACTTAGTAACTGCTCAGGAAATCTTTCCTAGTATCACACAGTAAGTTATTTTATATACTTCTTTTTAAAAAGTCCTTTTTGTATCCTTTCCACTTAAAATGGTGTTTTTTAAGTGGATATTGGGTCGTGTCAGGGGAGGGAATAGAGAGCAGAGGCAGATAGAACTTTTAAACTGTCCCGTGGGATTATTTGTGACTCAAAACACATTACTACTTACTGACATCAGTTTCTATAAAAGTCAGGAAGAAGCCAGGCACCAGTGGCTCATGCCTGGAATCCTTGCTGCTCATGAGTCTGAAATCTAAGGATTGGAGCATGGTTTGAAGCTAGCCTGGGCAGGAAAGTACATGAGACTCTTACTCCAATAAACTACCAAAAAAGCTAGAAGTGGAGCTGTGGCTCAAGTAGTAGAGGACTATCCTTGAGCAAAAGAAGCTCAGGGACAGCACCCAAACCCTGAGCCTTATACCTAGTGGGGGGAAAAAGGTCAAGAAGACATGAAGAATAAAACTTAAAGCAGAAAACACAAAAGGGTTCTATTATCAGATACTAGGCTATAAATACTAACCAGGCACCTTCTAAGACTACAGCTCAGAGTCAGTGAGTGAGCTCATGGAAACAGGTCACCATGGAGAAGACCACCTTCTTACTGGTTCTCTGCATTGTAAAGTCTAATGATGGCATTTGGTGGACATTTTGACTTTAATACCCTGGTACATTAGGCCACCAGGAACCCCATTCAGGCTCTCTGACTTCCCATCCCATGTGTACTCCATGTGTTTGTGTATGTTTCCTATCCCATACTGTTGCATCTGGCAGGCAGCTGTTGTCGCATGTGGTTGGTGATGGGTGTCCGTCAGTGGTATGGATGAGATTGATAGGGGACCTCAGGAATCCAGGGGGAAGTTAGTGTGAGGCAGCCAGAATGACAGGACTTTTCACATTCTCCTCCTGGTGGAGATAGGGTTTAGTTCTGGTCACATATGAATGTGAGTGAAATTTAAGACACCAAATTGTATACTTACAAATGATTTAAGTGGAAAGTTTATATACTTTGCCACCATTTTTTTAAAACTTACAAAACCTACATTAATTCTGACAAATAAAAAGATATGCTAGGTCTATGAGCAGGAGGCCCCAATATTATAAATTTATATATATATATGTACTAATCTATAAATTAACATTGTTATGATAACAATATTAATACAATGTAACAAAGCTATCGTGTTCTTTAAATAGATGAATTACATAACTTACACTTTAATGAAGCAGTGAAAGGTATAAGAATATTTTAATAATTTTTCCAATATATTGCTACTACAAAGATATTTTTGCTTGTGTTGCTATATTTAAATTACTTAACATTCTAGTCCGAGGAAAGAGATAGCATTTTTTTCCTTACTTTTTTTTGTTGTTGTTGTTGGTCATGGGGCCTGAACTCTGGCCCTGGGCACTGTCCCTCAGCTTTTCAGTTCAAGGCTAGTGCTCTACCACTTGAGCCATAGCACCACTTCTGGATTTTTCTGCTTGTGCTGAGGAATCGAACCCAGGGCCTCATGCATGCAAGGCAAGCACTCTACTACTGAGCCACCTTCCCAGCCCCATCTTTCCTTACTTTTTAAGCTTTAAACAACTTTCAAACTGAGTTCGGAGAAGTGTATGATAAATTTTGTGAACACTTCTTCAGTTCTGTATAGAGAAGGGTTGTGCTTTGACACGGTAGTTCTTTTTGTTTTTTCTTTCTTTTGTTTATTTTTGTCTCTTTTGTTTCTAACTTCACTGTGCTGGCCATTTATTGGACCCTTGTTGTCTGGAAATACATGCCTTTGACATCTTTATACTGAAAACATGCTTAATTTCTTGGATAAATCTATCACATCTGTATTCTATGTTGTCTTTTTCCCGACCCATTAAATGGATGTTGGACATTGTGAGTTTTCTCTTTCTTTCTGTCCTATTTTTTTACTCTTTTTATTGTCCACTCTGAAATATTTTGCCATGTTCATCTTTGAATTCTTTTTAAATAAATAAAAAAAACCTATATGCTATCATGTTTTTAATATCCAAGAGTTTTATCTGGTCTCTGATTGATCTTTTTTAAGTAAAAATAGCCATTTATTACTGTTTCTCTGGTGAATGTCCTGCCTCCCGAGGATGTCATTTGTTGCTGATGTTTAGCTTCTTCTGCTTCTGCTATTGTCTCTGCTTTCTCAGAGTTTCTTTTTGCTTTGTTCCTTCAGTTTCCGCTGTTCTTGCTGAAGATGCTCTCGAAATAACTGTGATTCTAGAATCTGTTCATGATTAAGGAGGCACTAAAAGCTGATCAGAAGTGTTCTTTGTGTGCGGGCTACTTACTGCCTGGAGGGCTTCCCTGGGAGTTGGCTGGGTGGGGGAGGCACTGCCTCACAGCTCCTAGTGTGTTGGGAATAGAAGAGGGAAGAAGGCTCCACATTTAGCATGTAGATTTTTGTCCTGGATTTTCTTAGCCATGCGTGTATTTCCTGGTCTAGGACTTCCATTGACCAGGGGAATAACTCTCCCTGCTCCAGTTAGGAAGAGAGAAGGAACATTATTCTGGCTGAGTGGGATAAAGGGACGGTTTGGGTATCTGGGTCTCTGACTGTTCTTGACACATAGTTTTAACTGGTTCTCCTGCCTTCAACCCTACCTCTGCACTCACATTTTACATTCTGAGTCTCTGATCCCTTTCAGTCTGCTGGAATGGAGGAGCTAAACTTATGGTTGCTGTCTCTTTTACAGTCATCAACTACCGTGCCAGTGGTTTGGAGAGGGACTGGAAGCCTTCTCCAAACTGGAAGCCAGTACATGTCTTTAACCTGCCATGTTTAACTGGAAATCTCAGATCCTTTTAGTGTTATCAGAACCAAAGTCTTCCATAAGGAGGCCTGAGAAGAAGACTTGGAGCAGTAGCTTGGTTCTTAGGTTGATTGTGGGAAAAAATTGCCAGCCTGTCACAGCCAGTTTTAGTGGTGATGGTGCTGGGTCAGCTCCACTGCGGTAGATCCTCTGATCTGCACTTGCCTTTCCTCTTGCAGAAGTGGGCCAGTGTGAACAACCCCCTCTTCCTTCCGCTGATCCCACCACAGTCTCAAGGCTTCACCGCCATTGTCCTCACCTACGACCGTGTGGAGAGCCTCTTCCGGGTCATCACTGAAGTGTCAAAGGTACCCAGTCTCTCCAAGTTGCTGGTGGTCTGGAATAATCAGAACAAAAACCCTCCAGAAGGTAAGCAGAATGGGGAAGTAGTGCTCTCAGGGAGGCCTGGCTTGGTCTTTCCTGCAGCTCTCAGCTGTATTGCCCTTCATGGCCAAATTACTTGCATCCCCTCTTCCACCTAAACTTTCCTGCTCTGTCAAAAAGCAATGCCAGGGCTGGGAAGGTGGCTCAGTGGTAGAGCGCTTGCCTTGCATGCATGAGGCCCTGGGTTCGCTTCCTCAGCACCACATAAGCAAAAAGAAAAAAGCCGGAAGTGGCGCTGTGGCTCAAGTGGTAGAGCGCTAGCCTTGAGCTGAAGAGCTAAGGGACAGGGCCAAGGACCAGAGTTCAGGCCCCACGACCGGACCCCCCCCCAAAAAAAAAGCAATTCCATTTCTTAGACAGCATGACCCCAGTGTTTTAAGTCATCTCATTCTTGTTCTAGGGTGGCCCACTTAACTTCAGCCCTGGTGTACTCTGTGCACAAGTATTTGAGGGCTTAGGAATCAATAGGATCAAAGGCTGTCGGCCTTGGGAAAAACAGGTCTCAGCCTTCCTTGCCATCCCAAGCTGATTTGTTTACATGAGAACTCAGTTTAAGATGCATTAGTTTTCTCCTTCTTATCTCTGCTCTGTGCTCTCCTTTAAACCAAGAAAAAAGGATGGACTCACTTTTGATTTGGAAGGCCAGCAGCAAAGGGCCTGCAGACCTGGAGTCAGTCCTGGAGGAGACTCTTACTAGAAGCTGCCATTGGTCTCCCTTAATCACTTTGCTCCTTGACTCGGCCACCCCTATAACCTGCTGGCTGGCAGCTAAGGTTGAGGACTACTTGATTAATTGGATTTGTTTTTAATTCGGGATGCAGAGTACGTTCCACCTGCATTTAGTTTCTCATTCAGTCTGTCTATTACTGATCCTAATCCCAAGGACTTCAAAGCTCTCGCCATTTATAGCCCATTAAAGCCAGGAAGTTTCTGATGGATTAGGGCAAGGAATGAGTTTGAAGTTTGTAATGTGCACCACTGTCACCGATAAGGTCTAGTTTATTGCCCGACAGTAGTATCTGCACTTTTTATGGCTAGTCCTTTTAATTGGTTATGCTGAAGTCCAGAGAGCCCTGCAGACTACCAGTAGTAGATCTGGAGTCTAGGCTGGAAGAAGACTGTATTTCTGTCTCGGTTAGGCAAGTCAGAATTTGCTCAAGAAGGTTCTTTACTGCCTCCTGAAACATTTCAAAAGTTGTTCTTTGTGGGATTTTTGTTCTTTGAAAGGATGTCTCTTTTTAGGTCTGGAGATGTACAATGTGAGTAAATAAATTAGCTACTTTGAATGAGCATCCTCTATTATGCCTTTTAAAACATTAACTAGCTACTGGTACCAAGATTTCTTCTTTCGCTTAACATTATAGCCAACTAATTTTTGTTTTGTTAGTTCAATTCTTAAAACAAATAAAAGAGAGTGGGGGCAGGGGTGGGGTGGAGGGAGGAAGGGGTGGTGTCTCAGGCATAAAATCCCAGCCCTTGGAACACAGAAGCAGGATGGTGAGTTTTAGACCAGCCAGAGTTACATAATGAGATTCTATCTCTATTAATTAACTAATTAATTAATAATAAAGGGGGAAATGGGGAGGTGAAAAAGGAAGATATTCATATCACTTAAGAAGGGAGGAAGAAAGTGACAAGGGGAAGGGAAAAAAAGGAAAGGAAAGGAGTTGTAAAGGAAAGGAAACTGGAGAAAGTCTCTCCTGAGTCACTTGATTTTGTCCATAGTGTCACTTTTCTCCAGAGAAGTGAATTAGATGGTGCTGCATTGCTAACAGTCGTGTTTAAGACAGAAGACTGTGTGCCCCTCATATGTCTGGAATGTCCCTGTGTCACGTTGCATTCAAACACATGCATTTACCCCAGTGTACAGAGACCTCCAGCGTGGCAGGAAAGCCGCCAAGCCCTGCTTTGCAAGCCTGAGAACAGCAGAATGCAGGCTGCGGTGCAGAGGATCTGGAGATGTACTATCATTCTGTACCCTATAAACCCATACAATTGTCATTTGTCAGTTAAAATAAAACTTAATACTGCAAAAGAGGTTTCTCTTTATAAACTCTGGTTAGCCACTTTGGGCATAAGGCAAACCATTTGCTGTGAATTTGAATCACTTGTTTGGGCAAGCATGAGAAAGGAGAAATGGTTTTCTTCCTGTATGGTGCAGGCCTCAGCACTGGTGTAACTGAAGGCCGAGCAAGAACCTGAGTTTGGAGCTGGGAATTCAGTGTTAATTATTGGGCAAACCTTACTAAAATATAGTGGTTAATTTTCTGACCAGCAGTTTCATTTACTTTTTAAATGCTTTGGCTCTAGGGAAGAAAGAGACTCTTTAACTGATCGGGCCCTAATTTTGACATGCACTGTGATAGACTTGCTTTTTTCTGTCAGTGGTTTTAGGTCAGAGCTCTGGCTCTGGTGATGTGGTTGTTGGGGGAGAACATGACCATGTTTCATCTTCTGTGGGGTGTTTGTTCAATTGGTAACTGGGGCTGTCAGCTCTGGTGCTCATGCCAGCACATGGATCTGATCTTTCATGTACAGCATATATATATATATATATATATATATATGTATATATATATATGTATATATATGTATATATATACACATATATATATAGCTTTTTTCTAAAGCTTTGAAATATTAGAGGCAAAAGTGATGTTTTTCCACTTTCTCTGCATTTACTAAAATAAATATTGTGGTTAACATGTCTACTGCTGGGAGGATTAGTGTAGGCATCATTCTTCCCAATTCCCACTTTTTTTTTTTATTTTCCATCGCAACCAAATGCTCTTTTTCTTTTGGTTACAGTTATGTCTAAATTGTTGGGTTTGAAGTTTAAGTAAATACTTAGATTAGGCAACTGAAATTTCCAGTGTGCTTTCGTCATATTGCTTTTGAGCCCTGTACCTTCCCATTCCCCTTTTCTAAGTCTTCAGTTTCCAAAGTTGATGGATAGAGAGGTTATTTGCCTTGGCTCCTGGCCTCTATCTGAAGGAAGCTATTGTACTATACATTTTGAGTAGTATAACTCAGTCTTTAGTTTTAATCTATTTCAGTTTTAAATTTGAATTGGCATCAGCACCACGCCCAGCTTCAGGTGGTGGCTGTCACAATCCTTAATGGGCAGCAAGGGGTTAGTTGAGCCTTTCAAGATGGTCAACCCAGAAAGGACAGTAGGAAGTAGCTGCCTTTCTTTGAGTGTATTCTGGAACTCTGGGAAAGTAAGTTCATAAAGCCTATCCATGCACTGAGCAACTCGACACTTCTGAAGCAGGCTCAAAGTTTGTGTGAAGATCAGGTTTGTGTGATGATCAGATAGTGTGTTCTGTATGTAGATAGGAATTGCAGGCTTGGATTCTTCTTCAGCCAACCTGAACACTTGGCAGTATCTTTGCCAAGTTGCATAAAAGTTCCTTTTGCTTGCATCTCCCATGGCACCCAATAGAAAAGCAAAACTGCCAATCATTATAGCTTTTTTTTTTTTTTGGTCCTGGGGCTTGAACTTGGGGACCTGGTCACTCTCTCTGAGCCTCTCTGCTCAAGGCTAATGCTCTATTACTTGATCCACAGTGCAACTTTTTCTGTTTATGTAGTACTGAGGAATCAAACCCAGGGCTTCAGGCATGCTAGGGAAGCACTCTACCTCTAAGCCACATTCTGAGCCCCAGTTTTTTGTTTCTTTTTTTAATCACTGATACAAGGACTAAACCTCATACTGTGCAGTACTCAGTTGCTTGGCTCAGCTGTTTGGTTTTCATAAATTTAGCAACATGTTTGAAAAAAATCATAGTTTTAGGTTACTTTTTATACCTAGGCGGTGACATTTCTATTTTGCTTGTTGGAGATTTACAGGATGGAACACTAGATACAGAGCAATGCTGTTGAATTTAGGATTAAAAGAAATAATGAGAACAGACCCCCATCTAAGCTCAACAATAGATTTCTTGCTCTGATGCTGTTTCCTTCTGCATCACTTATGATGACCAGGCCTGGTGGGTCATCTCCATGTCCTCTGTCTGGACCTCTTCAACATCTCAGCAAAGAGGTAGTATTCTAGGACTTCACAATAATCCATTGATGAAGACGATAATGGCCTGACACTTGCTGTCCCAACAGTTTATCATATGCTTCTTTTATCCTACTAATGGAACTATGCTGATACTTCATACACAGTGTCTCTAGTCCTTCAGAAAAGCCTGCAAGGAAGCTGCTATTGTCTGCATTTTACAAAAGTAAAAGAACTCAGATTATTAACTTGCCTAAATCACAAAGCTGCAAGTGGCAGAGCCAGCAATAAACACAGGGCTCTCAGGATCTACAGCTCATGCTTTTGCCCTGAGTTCCCATGTCTATTTAGATAACCATGTAGTTGTAGGAATGTCATCATGCTTTGCCACTTGTCTAAGTTAGGAGAACAAAGAAGAGCCATATTCTTGTCAGGGATTCAGAGAGTCAGAAAAGTAAATTATTGTTTGAAAAACACTCGCAGGGAGAAAAATCTCTTTCTCATGTATTCTCCTTCCCTGCCTTATAGCCCCCTTCTCACTCTCCTGCCCCAGTCCTAATGCTTTTAAAATACTAAAATTCCATACCAGGATGGTCTATGTTCATGGGTTTGCTGCCCTCCCATCCTGTCACTGGCCGTTCCCTGTCATGGAGGCCTATTTTATTTGACAAAGTAAAGAGAAGAATCTGGGAAGTTTTCTAGAGTCCTTGGGGGTACTGCTTATCCATAGAGAGCAGGCCATTGAAATGGAGGCTCCTTTTGTGCAGGCTGACTTTTTGCTACCCTGATGAATCTTAGAACAAGGGAAAGTCATCATACTCCTCAAAAAGCTGTGATTCATTCTGCATTTCCATCTGTACCCCATATTATCCCCCTTGGCTTTCATCACCCTCTAAAACTTCCCCATCAAAGACTTCACAGGGGCAAGTTCACTCTTTATGGGCACTGTCTCAAGTGAGGGTATATGTAGATAAAGCTAGTAGGAGAGCCTGTGGAGTAGACAAGTGAAAGTCCCAATTCCATCTAGAGCAGAGACGTGTTTCTACTTAACCACAGCAGCTGGCCTATTTTTCGTAGAGTAGGAAAAGGAACTATTTGTTATTTTGTGGGACTCATATGGCAAAAGTTCTGTGTCTTTAGTTCCATTAGCATGTGTGGTATTTTCAGTTCTGTGGCAGGGCTTCCACCTAGGTACAACTGGGCACAAGAAGCATGAGTTGGAGATGCTTCCGGATGGTTGGTCTAGGTGATGTACCTGATGCAAAATCTACCCCTTTGCCACCATGACCTAAAGTTGAGAGAAGTCTGGTTCTGTACATAGAGACTTTCAAGGGAAGGCACAGCTGACATTTAGTAATGTATACCATGTGCAAGGCACTGTACTGCTATATACCTTTATTCATAGTCAGGGTCAAAGTCATAGTCAAAGATGGGGCTGTTACACCTTCTCCATAGCTGAAGAAACAGGTTCACTGTAATTGACTTGTTCAAAATCACATGGCTCATGAACAGTAGACTGGAAGTATTTCCCAAACTATTCTTTCTACTATACTTTCTGGCTTTCCTAAGAGTATCTTGTTTAGTTCCTCACCTGAGATCAGGTAGAATCTGACTATATTTAGTACATTTCAAGCAAAAAGATATTGTGTTGCTGAAGGCATTTCATTCCATCCTAAAACAATTTGTAGTATCAGAAGGCTTCTTACCTCTATGAGTCTCAATCAATTTCCCTATAACATTCACCCAGCCTTTGGTTATGGTTCTAACCTTTCTTGGCTGCCTCAAGTAATTGTCAGAAATTAAAAATCAGAAGCCACATAGTAATTTGAACAGGAAAAATGTAATATCAAGAATGATTAGTGTGTTATGCACTGATGACTTATGCCTGTAATCCTAGTTACTCAAGAGACTGAGATCTGAGGATCGCGGTTCAAAGCCAGCATGGGCAGGAAAGTCCGTGAAACTCTTATCTCCAATTAACCACCAGAAAACCAGAAGTGGTGCTGTGGTTTAAAGTGGTAGAGCACTAGCCTTGAGCAAAAGAGCTCAGGGACAGATCCTATGCCCTGAGTTCAAGCCCCATGACAAAAAAAAAAAAAAAAGGAAAAAAGAAAAAGAATGTATAATGCATGATTTGTGGCTAGAGCTAAGATTCAGACTTTGTTGGACCGAGGAGAGCTGTGTTATATTGGATGGTGAAGTGTGCCAAGGTGCCAACGGTGACAGCAGTGATGGCCTTCCCGCTCCTGCTTGATGCCCCCAGAATTCAATAGGAATCTGCTACAAATGATGCTGTTAATTTTCTGGGATAATAACTGGGGCCTCAGTGGACTTCCTCTGGAGCCACCCCAACTGTGAGCCTCTACAGAATTGCTGGTGGAGACAGGAACAGAACTTCAGGGAAGCTTCCCCTAAGGTGCCATGTATACTTACTAGAGGTGAATGCCAGTACCTGCTTACTGCTGGCCACCTACTGCAGGGGCAGAGTAAAGCAAGCACACCAGCCATCAAGAACTCCATCTTGGGCTGGGATGTAGCTCAGTGGCAAAGCGCTTGCCTAGCAAGCTCAACGTCCTGGGTTCGATCCCCAGTACCAAAAAAGGAAAGACAAAAAAAAAAAAAAAAAACTCCATCTTCCCATAGCAACCTTCTAGTGCCCTCCCCGGACAAAGGCTATCATCATGCCAGCTGGCAAAGGAGAAGTATTCACAGGGTCATCTCCAGCATCACAAACTGGACAGTGAAGATGAAACTGCAAGCTGTAAGGCAACAATCTGGTAATAGGCCCACTTTGTCTCTCTATACATTCTGTAGAAATCCTGGATTCAGTTGCCCAAACTATCCTCAATACTCCTGCCAAATTGTTGGCTCCATTTGTTCATCTTCTACATTGCAGTTCCCAAATCTGAGTACTAAGTCTAGCACAGCATTTCTCCAAGTGTGGGTCAGGCACCACCTCAGCGGAGATCCAGTCAGGGGTTTTGGGAGGATGAATCATTGTTTCCCTTGCCCATCTTGTTTCTGTCACAGGGAATGATACAAAATGACAATGACATAGATGTTCTAATGGCCAATGGAATGTGTAATTGTGTTTTAGAATTTCCTCCATTTTAGTTTTTAATACACTGATTAGTGAGTGTCTTTGTCCTGTGTAAATTAAATTACTTTTGGTTTCTCAGTGATTTTAAGAGCATGAATGGTTCTAAACATTTGGTCTCCTAGATAAAGCTGTAACCTGTATTTTAGATACTATAATTCATACTTTATAAGAAGCTGGTGACAGTATATATGTGGCAGGCATTTTATTTAACTGAAGTCAGGGGTGTAATGCAAGCAAAAATAAGGATGAAAAGAATCATTGAATCTTCCTGGTTTATTCCAAATTAGAAAACCATGGGGCTGTAGAGCTAAGTGTATTATGGTGCAGGTCGTATGTGGTCTTCAATGGTCAGCAGACTTTGGTTTAAATACTAGCCAGCAGAACAAGTTACTTTTCTCTCTTAGTCATATAAAGGGTACTTTGTAAATGAGTTATGCTGTCAGGAAGTTTGATAACAATACATCTATGAGGAATTAATGTCCCCTTCTCTGCTTATTTCTGAGGAGAGGGACTTAGTTAATTTCTTATAAATAATGCAGACCACAGGTGAGTCTCCAGTACCTCAGTTTGTGTGCCCAGGAGCATCTTTTATTATTATTATTGTGAAAATACCATATAGAGGGGTTACAATTGCATGAGCAAAGTAATGAGTACATTTCTTATCAAGCATTGTTCCCTCCTCCTTTGTTTCCCCTTATCAGCCCTTCCCATCTCCACCCCCCTTGCCAGCCCTGTCTCTCCAGTCCCCACTCCCAACTCAGGAGCATCTTTATCCATTAGTTATCATTTAAAAGACAGTGGCCCAGAGGATCATTTTCTTTGGTTTCATGTTCAGCTCTTTCTTAAGCATACTTCTTTTGGAGTTGACCACTTTTTAGGGTCTAGGCCACAGGACAGTTGGCAGCTATGGATGTCTTCCTTAAGCACCAGGCTTCTGTCTTCCATAGTCCTCTTCCAAGACCTGGGAGCATCCAACAGTGCATCTCATTGTTAGGTTGTAACAATGCGTAGGTCAGATGTTCCACTATAGTCAGTCGAGGCGACCTTTTTCCCTTTGACTTTCTCTCTGCTTTGCATCTCCTTCAGTTTGGTGACTCTATTGTGGCCATGGGTATTTGAGGGCCTCAAGACTCACAAAAACTAAATCTTCAACTAATTATACGATAGTCTTTCTAAAAGCAGCATGATACCTGGTTTTCCACTTCTCACCTGACAAATGTTATATGAAGAATAAACTGCCATCTGTGAGAAACATTGCTATTATACCAACAAAGTATTTGCCAAGAACAAAATTTAAAATAAACAACGCTGTGGTTGAATTGCTGTAATAATTTCAAGTTAGAATGGGGAAAATATAAGGCAAGTCATGGGTTATTTCTTCAACATACTAGAAAATCCCACACAACTGAACCTAGAAATGTGATATTTACTCTGTAAACTGGTCATGATGAGAAACCTATCCTAGTGAGCCCAAATTAGGAAAGGAAATGTAGGGTTAGGAAGGCAGCACTCATCCTGGGAAGGTAGGGAGAGGGGCGTGGGCTCAGCAGCCTAAAGCTACCTGTGGTTGATCCTAGCATAGCTTCTGACATCTGAGTGCACTGATAGGAAACTGACAGAAGAGGTAGGTTCTGATATTCCAGCTGTGGTCCTGAGACTGGGATCCAGGCTGTCTTTCTCTTCCTGTCATGGTGATGTCAGCCAAAGAACATTTATTTTCCTGCCTCTCAGTTGTGAAGTGAAGCCAATTTGTTTCTTCTAGATAAGACAGTATGGAGAATTAGTGGTATTGCAGGGAATTAGAAAGGATAGAAATGTGTGTGTGTGTGTGTGTGTGTGATTAGAAAGGATAGAAGTAAGTGTGTGTGTGTGTGTGTGTGTGTGTGTGTGTATGTATGTGTGTGTGTGTGTGTGGTCCCTGGCCTGGCCTACCTTTCCCCTTGAGGAGAGCCATGGATAGAAAGAAGCTAGTCCTTTCACCTCATTGTGGTAGAGTGCTCTCACAAGATAGGTGAGCAGTAAATACCTTGTTTTATTTTTCTTCTAGAATCTCTTTGGCCCAAAATCAGGGTTCCATTAAAGGTTGTGAGGACAGCTGAAAACAAGCTGAGCAACCGCTTCTTCCCATATGATGAAATTGAGACAGAGGCTGTCCTGGCCATTGATGATGACATCATTATGCTGACCTCAGATGAGCTGCAGTTCGGTTATGAGGTAAGGAGGCCTTCAGCAGTGTGTGTAAATTGACATCTACTGCTATTATTGCTGGTCTTTTCTGAAAAAGAATGCTATACCTCCTCTAGAGTTATAATAGCTAAACTTCCCAGTAGAGTTTGAAGGCCACATGTACATGACATACAGTGGGTTATGGTAACTGTTCTTTAAAACCTGAGGAAGCCCCATTCCAGAATGAGAACTGTGTCCTCCCTGGTTTTAGGATCTCCCAAGGAGAGTCCCCTGGGTACATTTTCCAAAGTGCATCTGTTACATTTAGCAAGCACCTAATCATATCTCCCAGAATTGAAGTTCCCCAACTCTAGCTGCCAGGCTCAGCAATAGTGAAAATAGCGAAGCCATTATATACAATGAAGAAAACACTGGCAGGAAAAAATTTGTCTTTCTCCTTACAACCTGATGAAAGAAACAAGTGAAGCCATCACTTTGCTTAACATAGTAAGCAAAGAAGCAACACTGACAAACAGAAAGCAGATCCTGTTGATGAGTTTGAAGTGGCGAGGCCACTGCCTGTCTTTACCCAGAAACATTCTCTATCACTGCTCATTTGGGGTGGCTGATGGATTATGTTGGGTTCAAGGGTTAAGTATGGAGACCAGTAAAGGTCTCTCCAGGGGAAAGTGCCAGAGCCCAGGCCTGGTGAGAAGCAACAGCAGTTGATGAGGCCTGTCAGGGAGGATGTAGGTGCGAGGCATGACGGCGACAGTCGAGTCGTGCGCTGCAGGAGGCAGCTATGGTATCAGACCAAAGTGCAATGGAGTGTATAAATCAATTAGCTCCAGCAGGCACAGGGGAAAGTTGGAGATTTATCCCCTGTGGTCACCTTGCTTTCGGGTGAGAGGAACCTTTTTTTTTTTTATTGACTCAGGATTTGTTGAATTTGGAGTTGTTAAAAAAAAATCATGACATTTGGCTAAATGAAGCTATATTTGGTACCTATGTTTATTATAGAAATTTGTCTTCAAATCCTAAAGTCAGAGATTAGTGCTGGGATGTAGCTCAGAGGAAAAGCACTTGCCTAACATCGGCAAGATCTAGAGTTTGATCCCCAGCACTTAACAAATAAAAAAGGTAGATTTTAAGTGAGAAGAAATAAGAACTTCCATACCCACCAAAGCTTAAGTCTTCCCAGTTGTGTTTTACTTTAAAATATTTCACCCTGGATTCCAATGAGAAAGAAATTGTTCTAAGATAGATTAATATGTGGCACCCTGGTTATTAGAGAACTGGCTAATGAGAAACATAGGAGCGGCTACAGAAAGGTGCATTCATCATTTGGTTTTATCTTGGTTCATAAGAAGGGATTTGTACAGCATCTCACCTAGGGTATTAGATGACATTTAGCATACTATTACTCCCTTTTTTTTCCTCCAAAAAAATTGCCTACTTGTTTCTCTCATCAGGTTGTAAGGAGAAAGACAATTTTTTTTTCCTGCCAGTGTTTTCTTCATTGTATATAATGGCTTCACTTCTACCACTGTGTTTATTTTTGTGGCAAAAGTGAGATTGCAAGGGGAACATTCAGAATGATGGGGCCAAGGTGGACGAGGGCTGCCTCTTCACTTTCCAGTTCCCTAAGTTCTGTTAGTTTGGAAGTTATGCCTTGAGATCTCAAATCTATTGAACCCTGGAATCTCCGTAGCTCATTTCATAATATATCCTGTAGCCAGATAGTTTATAAGAGGAGTGTGGAGACTCCCTTGGCTTGCTTGGGTTTATTTCCACATCCCTCTTAGGGAGTAGCTGCTGCCTAGAGGAGTGAGACCAGGAGCTGCCTGGTCCCTGTTCACCAGAACCTTCTCCAGGAGCTACCCAAGTAGATGCTTTTCAGAGCCTCCTCCACTGTGAGACTTGCCTGCTCCTATCTGCATCCTCAGTGCCACACTTCACCTTGGACTTTTCTACAATGGGAAATGCAAGGTGGTCTTCTTCTTCTTACTCTGTGCTCAGACCGAACAGGCTTAGCCTACTTGTCGAAGGCACACAGCTAATAAGTGGAAGAGTTGATACTTAACTCAAAGTTTGTTGGACACCAAATTGTCTCCTGAAGATTCTGCCCCACATGTCATCTATCAGAAACTACTGGTTCTGAACATAAATACTGTTGGTTCTAAGAAGCAGCACTTAGAACAAACCAACAAAAACACCCCAGATCAAATAGTAACTCGAAAAGAAGAGGAGAAAAACAAAGTTGTTTATCAATAGAGAAATGTGCATAGTTGCTCAGGTCTTTGCTTATATGGCTGGGTCAGAGCTCTGAGTTGATACTGAAACTTTCTTCCTCCCCGTGCAGGTTCCTTTTGTTGTCCTGAAGCACCTCAGACCTTAGTACTGACAGTTTCCTAATGCGTCCGGTACCATTCACACTTCCTATTTCTTCTTGTGTTCATTTTGATAGATTGTGTTCTTCAAGGAATCTTTTCATTTTTATATACATTGTAAAATATACTGGTCAGAAAGTCATTCATAATACTCCCTGGTAAGCTTTGTAATACTCCCTGGTAAGCTTTGTAATCATTTGCTGTTTTTCATTCCCAATATTGGTAATCTGTCTCTCCCTGCCCCCCCCCTCCCCTCTCTTATAGTCTGGGATGGCTTTAAGCTCACAATCTTCCTGCTGGAGAAGACTCCCAAGTGCTGGGATTACAGAAGTGTATCACCACACCCAGCTTTTCTCTTTTCCTTGATGAATCTTATTAGAGGTTTATCAGTGTTACAGTCTTTCCAAAGAATCTAGCTTGATTCTGTTGGTTTTCTTCTTGTATATTTATTCTGTATTTAGTTAATCAATATTTTTTGCTAGTTGTATTTCATCCTATACTTTCACAATTTAAATTACTACGATCTGTCTAGATTTTTTGGTTGATAGCTTAAATAATTGATTTTAGTATTAATTTTCTAATATGTGGACTCAGATTTTCCTAACCATTGCTTCAAATGCATTCTCAGGCTTTGATGTGTCATATTTCTCTTTAAGTTCTAAATATTTTGTAATTTGCTTTGTATTATCTCCTTTGACCCTTAGTTACATGGAAGTACATTGCCTACTTTGTCAAACTATTTGATTTATTTTTTCTTAATAATTTCTGGTGTGATTCTACAATGAAGAAAATATATGCTGGCTGATTTTATTATTTTGGAATTTATTGAGACTATGTGACCCAGTAGGAAGTGTATTTTGGTAAGTGTTCTACGACTACCTAAAAAGAAGGCTTATTCATATTTGTAGATTTAATAGGTCAAGTAGGTGAGTTTGGTTACCAAGTATTTTTCATTTGACATAACCAGAATATTTCCTTGCTTCACCTCCAGTGATAGTATTTATTTTTCTTCTGGGTTTTTTTCCCATAGCCTTTATCATGTCTACAGCAGTTAAATTCATTATCTTAGTTTAAATTTAAAAAATAGCTATATACAATATTTGTTATGTGAGAACTGAAGAGAAAACATGCCACAGATCTTTTTTACTCCAGTGCCAAAATCATTTTAGAGAAATCCAGTGACAGAAGGAACTTTTCATAAAGGAATAGAAAGCTGTCCTCTAGCATCTATTGTGGCTTCAGGTCCTACTTGGAAACAAGAGAGCAGGCCAATTGACTTCCTGAAACCCCTTCAGATATTGTCATTCTAAGAAACCAGAAGATCAGGTAAATCTACAAGGTGTAATCCCGTGTGAAGTACCAAACTGCTAGGCATAAGAAGTGTCAAATTCCTCCACTTCCTGAAAAACACAGAGTATAGGCATTAGCATGTGAGATGTTGAATGGAGAACACATCAGTTATTTAATGGAGGAGATCAGAGAACACAAGGATGAGCCAGCAATTACTTTGTCCAAAGTTCTGTTAATGCCTCACCTAACGTATAACGTATAGACTCAAGCCCCAGAGTTCCAACATGGTTTTCACAAGCAACAAGCACCATAGCCTGCTAGTGGGCCATAGTTGAGAGACTGCAGGTATAAGCCATAGACAGCAATAGAGGATACTCACCTGGGCTGTTAGCTTGGTAATTGTTTGGGAGTTCTAGAATCCCTTTGCAGGAGGAAGTTATTAGAGCCATTTGGTGCTTTTATCCAGCCTTTAGCAAATCTTAGCACAAATAGGTAATATTAATTCTATATACCAGGGTACATGGTCAAGACGCACACCTGGGCTCACTGCCAATCAGATGAGAAGATCAGATCTCCTTGCTGCATGCCTGTTATCCATTCATAGCACCCCATTCAGAAAGCTCTGTTTAAAAGAAATGCGGGGTCAGAATGTGAAGGGACCTCAAAGATCATCCTTCACTCCATGCTTTTTTGCTAAGGACACTGAGGTGCAAAGAAATTAAGTTGCATCTTTAAGGTGTTAAATGTCCACTGACTCTTACCCTCAAAGATATACTATAACAAGTTCTTCGGAATGAAAGGCCAGAGGGATTCTTCTTTCAGTGTCTATGACTTGAGCACACAGACATTTGGAACTAGTATTCAGTATAATTATTTATCTACTTGGAAGAAAACACAGGGGTTATTTGCCTGTTTAGATGGGGTCATATTCCCTGTTGGAAGGCACAGGGCCTTGGGAAATGTTCTGTTCCCTCTCCAGCCCTGAAGTCAGGAGCTAGGAATGATCTTCCCTGGCCCTGCGTGTTTCTGACTTGTTTGACAAGTTCTAGTGAGCTACCAGATGTGGACATTCTTTTCAGCTTGGGATAATTTATTTATCTGTTTATGTATTTTACCAGGAAAGTATCTATTGAGTTCTTGATACTCATTGTGGGGGACTCCTAGGGGAACAGTAGCAGTGGATAATGTTACTTGAATGTTTGATTTTTTTTTTCAAGTCTGTCTGCTTTTATTTCAGACCTAAAGAGCTGGGAAATAAAAAGCAACTTATTCCGGCTCCCCTCCTCCGCCTCTGACAGACAGTTTAAAACATATGGTCGAAAATGAGCCACAGAGACTTGGCTGAATGCATGAACCTGTGAATTTACT